AATGTTTTGTAGGAAGACATTACCAGCATGGCTTTATTATTTCGTCGATTCTTTTTGATTGTGTATCATCTAAACGCTACTAAAATATTTAAATTACAAAAGCGTTTGAATATACGCTCTTCCTGTCGATGATGAGTTGTTGATAAGAACTATAAATAAGTATCATGTTATGGATAGCCTGAACACAGTCAAAGTAATCGGTCAGGAAAAGAAACTCAGTCTGCTACGCTATGCTGAAGCAGTCGCTGTCAGAAACTTTTAAAGAAATCTACACATGCAGAAGGAGATAGTGGCAAACCATGCATTACCTTCATAATTATATTCATTTAATCTTTCATGTCTTCTATTTTGTTTCAATTTTAACCTTTTCATTCATATGTCGTTCACCTTACTCTTCATTCTATTGTGAAATATTTTTCGTACTTATGTAAAGTGTGATATTAACATACTACTTCTAGCTTAACTTAATTACTATTCACATTTTGAACAATCCTCCCTTTCTCATTCCAGGAATATTAGTCTAATTATCTTATAAATGATCAGGTCTTTTAACGCTAATTCATTTTTACGAGTTGATCACGGATTGATATCAGTTAGAGAACCATTGAAAACCAGCTAAGAGTACTGGACAGCTGTTTCATCCTAGTCTGGGAATCATCGGCAGTACGCACCCACCACCATGGTTAGAACCCAGGACCATCCGGTTACAAGGCAAGCTCGCATACCATTAAGCCACTGGGACCCTGTTCAATGGCCCATGAATTCTAACTTCTACCAATTTGTGATTTAGCGAGACTACCAACCAATGTCATCGGTGGGAACCCCATCCTCACACTTGACTGGATGGACCTCAGTGGTCACGACTTCTCACTAGAACTCCAGGAAACTCCATCCTGCAGCAAGTCACTAGCGAGCTAATTCATTTACTTACTATTATCACTCCGGCCTTCTGTTACTTATTTTTGAGACCAGTAGCTTGTTGTTAAAGTGATAAAAGTATATGATTTGCAAGTGTGAAACATCTCCTTCTCAAGGATTTAAAATCAATCTGAATGAAGAATATTCTTTTCAATAAATTCTCTTCAGTTTCTTACAATTATAAAACGAAATATTTGCTGTTACTACAATAATAACCAGTTATGTGGTGGATACATTTTTACGTAGAATGACAGATAAGTAGTATGTGTGTGACAAACTTGCTCGGCTAATTCTAATTACAAAATATTATGAAATACGACACGATAATGGGGGTTAGTCACGATGGTTTCATACAGCGTGAGGAAATAAAACTGATAAGTCAGTTCAGTGTTATAAGACGTCTCTGGGTGAGTGGTATACCTTAAATGGGAGATTGTATGACTGAGGTGAATAGTTCCTCATGTAGCAATCATTACATGAAATGAATGAGGTACAGTCATACACTGAGAAAACAGATAATACTGTCAATAATAAATCAGAGTAGTATAAATGGAAAATTTGATATTGTTGAAAGAGTATTAGAATGAAGGGCATAAACTGTAAAATATTGTGACTGAAACTGCTAGGAAGAAGACATATTTGGAGCGGAGGATTTTTAATCCATATTTGGCTACAATAAGAACAACAATCGAATGTGTTCTTTTTGGATACAAAATTCTGGCTTAGACAATCTTATCGAAATAGCCTCAGCTGTATGTGGAAGACATGGTCAAACTATGTATAGTAATGGCTTCGCAATGTGGTATATAAACCTAAGTGCTTCGTTAGCGTCAATGCGATGTCCTATATTTACCAAGTGTGATAGAAATGAATTTCTTACGCACTTGATTTCATCCTTTCTGAATCAGTCTGGCAGATGTTCTCCAATCCGTAGATGAACCTGTCTATACGTTCTCCCTGTATAACTTGAACCACAGGAACAGATAAAACGGTACATGCATGAAAACGAGCAAAGATTAGATAGGACGTCTTTCACTTTCGGGGTGAATACTGGACGGCCATTGTACTAACCACTCATCAGGCACGTTTTACAACACTGAACTAACTTGTCATGTGTCCTCCCCTATATTGTATGAATTTGCCATGACTAATCACCACCATAGCGTCGGTGGTGTAGCGGTTAGGGAGCTTACCGATCATGCACATGGTCCGGGTTCGACCCGGCCGACGTACTCCTTTACCTCGCTAAGCCAGAAATAATGCTGGTAAAAAGGGAAGGTTGGGCATGAGGCTAGAAACCTCATCCTGTAAAATAAACACTGTTACAGAAACTTCAAGCCCCTAGCTTGAAGCCCTATGTTCCACTGGGGAACGTGAAGGAAAAAAAATCACCACCATATCTGACATTTCACAATATTCTGTAATTGAAATCAGCCCAGAAGGTTTGTTGCGCAAATACTGTTTATTTTTACGCCCTATAAATAATCTGTTATTCTATGTAAAAAATGCGTCTACCACAAAACCGGCTATTACCATAATGATAACAGATATTTTATTTTATAAATGTAAGAATCTGAAAAGAATTCATTCTAAAGAATATTCTTCGTTCAGACCAACTTTTAATTCATCATAAAAGTATGTCCAAACTATTTTGTAATTTATACAAGTAATAATGAATAGTGTTTATTCGTTTCTGTTTCCCATCAGAAAGGCTGTCTGTGTTACAGCTGAATAGTTCTTCGATGTAGATTTCGTTATGAGCCAACGTCAGTTAGAGATCACTGAAAACTGGTGAGCACTGGACAGCTGATTGTTCCTAGTTTGGGACTTTTCATCAGTGCACGCCTACGTCCACATCAGGGACTAAGGAGTGTGGTTTGTACATCTTTCACACCATGTTCGTTGTAATACGCAAATTAAATTATTATGAATAATTCAGCTTTATTCAGCAAAATAATTTGAAAACACTTTTTCATGAAGATAAGTCACATTAGAAAGTGATTATTATTATTCAGTATTTACTTTTACTTAATCTGACCGGTATGAAATTCAGAAGTTATTTTAAGTGACTTTTAATCAACTATTGGTTAAAGTTGATATTGGCGAAACTGATTTTAAGCTACTGTAAATTAATTCAGAACACGTTTTCTGTGATGCCTTAATTAATTAATTAATTCCTTGGATTCTGAGTGGAACATAGGACTTCAGCAACACATCTCCATTATTTCCTGTTCTTTCCAGTCTTTTTTAGCCGACTTTATGACCTCCCATAAGTTTTGATTTCCTCTTCATATTAGCATCCTCTATGCTATCCTTGGACTCCTAACTCATCGCTTCCTGTTAGCGGATTCCCATACAGGACTTGACCTGTGATCCTTAAATTCCCTTCATTACACTTTTAAAAAAATTCCTTTACGTTCCCAGTGGAACATAGAGCCTCAAGCTAGAGGCTTGAAGTTTCGGTAGCAGTGGTATTTATTTTTACTGGATGGGGTTGCTAGCCTCATGCCCAACCTTCCCTCTTTATCAGTTTTATTACTGGCTTGGCGTCGGCCGGGGATCGAACCCGAACCACATGCGTGATTGGCAAGCATTCTACCGCTGTTCCGCCGACGCACACCTTAATTACACTGACTGATAGTAATTAATACTCACATAATGAGTATGTTAAAATTCGCCCTAATTTCAGTGTAAATGTAGTCATGATGCAATATCAGCTAGACAGTTGTTGAAAATCAAGAGGAAGTGTACGGATGTTCCAATCTATATAGGAACTCTTCAGTTTAGTAAACTGTTACTGATATTCAGCTATTGAGTAAGTAGAGATTTTGTTACTTTCAGTGTTTCTCGTTCAATAGTGATTGACTTCAAAATGGAGGTTATAATGCTGTCTTAAAATATCGTGACCAATCTAGTCCAGTTATTCGGGAACGAAGATGTAGACTAATCAAATACAATCATTGGCGAAGCTGTCAGAAGTTAGAATTCCCGCATCATCGAATTCCAACGTAGCGACTGAATGAAAGCGTATTCAACTCACTGTCTGACGGCCTTGCGTTCGATTCCTACTGAAGTTATTTGTGTCCATTACAGAAGAATCCCTAACTGGGATAAAAAAGCCAACCAATATTTCTTGAATTTTCAATGTTCTCGTAACTAGTGTTGATTTATGAAGAAATCTACCATGAATGTATCAGTGAAAATACTGTAATACACTGAAATTTTAATCTCATCTAGTGAATAAATTTTATTCAGATTACAGGAATTTTTAGGGATTTTGGATAATTTTAATGTGGATTTCCTCATCAGTCAACATGAATGAGTTAAAGAATTATTGAAAACCAAGGAGCACTGAACAGTCATTTCATCCTAGTGAGCACATACGTCTCCATCAGAGATCGAACTGTGAATATTCAGGTTACACGACCGAGCTTGTCGACCATTCAGCCACACGAACCGATGTTCAGTGACCCATGGATTCTATCAATTAGTAATATGGAGCCGCCATCGATGAGCATCCAGTTCACCTTGACACGGTGGATCCCACTAGCCATGAATTCTCATTACAGCCTCAGGACATTCATCCAGTAGCCACCAATCAGCTCGAAATCAGTATTAAGATTATGGGTTTTATGTAGGGATTCCGATTAAATTCAATATTCAGTGCTCCGGAATTCGTAGTGGTCTTGTAATTGATGTTGGTGAGTGACGAAATCTCCATTGGAAGTAAAGTTTAATTGATAATTACTGATTATATATATATATATATATAATTGTTCTTTTTTATTCCTTTACGTTCCCAGTGGAACATAGGGCTTCAAGCTAGAGGCTTGAAGTTTCGGTAGCAGTGGTGTTTTATTTTTACGGGATGGAGTTGCTAGCCTCATGCCCAACCTTCCCTCTTTACCAGTTTTATTGCTGGGTTGACGAGATTAGTGAGTGCGTCAGCTGGGGATCGAACCCCGGACCAAATGGGGCGTGGTTGGCGAACATTCTACCGCTGTGCCACCGACACACCATTATATATAATGCATAATAATAGTAATAATAAATATATGTATAAACCGATATCTTAAACTTACAAGGAAAGTAATCACCGCATAGGTAAACAGTTTATTCATTGTTATTGTCACAATGTGTTTTACTAGTTATTGTGCAATCAAGAGAAAAAATGTTAACTGATAAAAATGTATTAATGACAGGTGATTATCTTGAATTAAATAATTTCAATAAGTTTTTCTCTTTCTACCGATTATGAAAACTAATGTTCTGAACCATTGATAAAAATGCACCACTTTTATAATAATTTCACTAATCAATAAAATTATTTATATTTAAATAATTCAATTTTGATTGAATTATGATATGGGAAAGCAGAGATAAGTCCTTTCCTAGTTTTATGATTGGTGGCTGAGAATATGAACTAGTCATAGGTAAATTAGCAGTTGTATTGTGAATGAATCACATAGACATGTATGCGATGAAGATGTAAAGCGGTAGTTAGATAGGAAATTATTTCATATTATTAAAGATAAGACAACAAAAAGAAATGGACAAACAAATAATGACCTTAATGTTTAATTAACCAATGAATTAATTAAATAAATAGATAAATGAATAGTTGGTAGGTTAGTAACTTTTGCGTCAGTGGTAGAACGCCCAGCAACCACGTACATACGTGACCCAAGTTCGATACCCAGACAACGCACTTATAAAACCTCGCTTAGCCTGTAGTAAGCCATTAAAGAGGGAGGGCTGGGCACGAGGCCAGCAACCCTACCTCATCAAAAGACAACATTACTGTTACTGAGAATCCAAAGCACTTGGGATGCGAACGAATGGAAAAAGTTAGTAGATTAGCTAATCAGTTACTTAGTTAAGTTGTTAAAGCTGCATGGTTGAGGACGACAGACATGATCTCATACGATTCATGCATGGCGTATCTTTAGTCTTTAAGGTGCCAATATCGCTTCCACTGGTTACCATCAATTCAAATATCCGCTGAGATGGTGTGTCGCCTAGCTCAGTGGTTTTATTGGAAATTTGACTGGTATACCTCAGTCAGCACCGTTACTAAGAACTAGGAAAATGATAAGAGTTACACCATGAGAATGATTCATTGGTCACTGTTGTCTTGTTGAAGAGGAATTCTTAAGAATATTCTAAACATTTTTCGGAATTTATTTAATTCAATTTTAGATTTTCCCGTCGATTGATTGGACCGAAGTGCTCGGTCTCAGGTTGACATGCTGGCTTCTTGTGCAGATGCTTCGACGATGTCTGGGCATGTAACTAGAAGTTAATTGGTGAATGGTGACTAGCAGTGGAATCCGGATGGCATTTCGTCCTATTTAGGACTCGTCATCTGGATGTACCTGCATTCCGCAGTGAGTGATGTTTTGGAATTTACAAGTAAATCATATTTTTACTCACTAATCAACATAATAATTTTATGATGTTTGAATTCATGTTGACTTACTCTGAAATCTATCACTAAAACTTATGCTTACACTAGAAATTAATACAAATCCCTATATAAAAACCATAACCTGAATGCCAATCTCCAGATCATTGACGACTACATGATGGATATCATGAATCCTGTACTGTGAAGACTTGGCCAGTGGGATCTACCATGTCAAGGTGAAATGGATGCTACTCGATGGTTCTAGTTGACAAAAGACAGAATTCAGAGGTCATTGAAATCCAGTCCAAGTGGCTGAATGGCCAACGAACTTGGCCGCGTAACGTGAATATTCTAGGTTATATCTTAGGTGGGTTTGTGGGTGTGCATTGTCGAAGAGTGTCAAACTAGCACGAAACAGCTGTCCAATACTTCCTGGGTTTCAATGATTCTCTAACTGATGTTGATTCGTGACGAAATCTACAGCGGAATGAATCCAAATCCGCACAGAACCTATACTCTAAATATAGGGAATTAAGGCCAAAAGTTACTTGTGTGAAGTGTTCAGAATCATGAGGGACACAGTACCAACCAGCTACTGAACAGAAACTTCACTGACTCATTATTTGTAACTGTTTCTAATGGATAAGCAATTAACCAAAATCACGAGTGCTTAATCTTACTTTTATCCAACTTAGTTGGTTTCCTTAGGTTTCTGGTGGAATACAGGGCTTCAACAGCATATCTCTATTTCATTCTGTTCCCTGAAGTCCTCTTTAGCTGGCTTCACGACTTTCCATAAGCTTTCATTTCCTCTTCACAGGATCTTCTCCAAGTTGCTGTCGTACATCCAATCAATCGGTTTGCCATAGTGAAAACATGCCGTCTTGTGAATATCTTTGTGCCTATGCACGCTGTCTGTAATCACCAGATCATTAAGGGCTCAGAAATCTTCAAGGAATCATCTGTTTTGATTCATTTCACCGAGTGCCTCTCGACGCATGAAACAGTTCTCTTCCTGTGTTGTCTCCTCCCAGTTTGGCATTCTTATCACCCATTAAAATGTTGATGCCTCCATATGACATGGGTCTTGGCCTTCACAGATTGCAGTTATCTGCATAATTCCTCTACTTTCTCTAGGTCTGGATAAGTATAAGCTTCCTACCTTTTGCGTTCAATCTTGTTGTCATTATCATGGGGGGGGAGAATGGCCCCTGCTTCATAAGAGACTTAAATGCTATTGGTGACTTCATGTCCGTGGTTTTCATCTGGGAGACATGGAGTATATTGTTAACTCTCCAGTTAAAAGTCTGTAGAGCCCACTCCCATTCCATCTTTGCTCAGGCATTCCTAGTAGTCTTGCACCATATCTTCACATTTCTTTCGCAATCTGAGCAGCCTACTCAGACTTGTTTTTGCTTTCATCGAAAGAGGACACATTAGCTGACTGGCTTCCCAAAGGCTTTCACTAGCCTGCGTCATTTTGTCTCTCCAAGTGTAGCCAAGAATTTTTGTAACGACTGGATGTATTTTCCAGAGTAGATTCACTGGCTCCACGCCTAACATACCTTTTCTTTTTCTCTGATTTATGACCGGCTGATAAAGTAGTGAACTAGTAAACTAGGCGAGGATATGCATGAGTTATCTAATATTAAAATATTAATAATAATAATACTCAACTAAGCTGTGAGTAGTAAAAGTATTCCTCTGTTAAAATACTTTTGACGCTACTTCCTCTTTGTATATATAAAAGAGTAAAACGAAAGTTATTGTGATAAATATCCATCTGCTCGAATAGACACATTCGCGCAAGTAAGTCTTACTTTATGTTGGCCTATAAAGCATCTTTTATGAAATTTACTAGTTTATTTCAACAGAATAGGAATATAATTCAAAAAGATTTAAAAAAATAGACGGCAGATTCAGGAAATAACTTAGATACTCTCTATCTAATTGTGTCTATAAAATAAAATGCTTGGAATGTGATGCGATATACATCGGACAAACATCTCGAGAAATCAAAATCAGAAGAAATGAACACCGTAGAGCATCTGTTCGACCACTGAGAAATCCAGTTAGTGAACTAGAAAAGCTTGAAAAATCATCAGCCATACGTCTACACGCTATAGAATCAGGCCACAAAATTGATTTTGACAATATTGAAATAATCCAGAAAAGCTTCAGAAATCACAAAGAACGTCTAATATCAGAAGCACTTCATATCAAGTGGAATCCAAATTGTCTGAATAGGAATGATGGACTAAAGCAGAATTTGACCTGGTTACAACACCCCCCTTCCCCATGAAGTGATAAAATCAACACGAATGTGATAAGCAATATCACTATGTAAACACACACTGCTTTTATAATTTTACACACTGATCAAATCCAACAATCTACACTTGGTTTTGTTATCTTTACCAATTGACCAACTTGACAACGAAAAATGACCCCATACTGACGAACGATGATCAAGTTAGTAAACTTTGTTTTGATACCATAGCAGATGTACTATTACCTTTGTTATTTGGTTTAGTGATCTTCATTGTTATTTTGACTTTCAATATGTCCTTTTAACTTGACCTAAGTCTATTTTCTCACCTCTTAACTCTTTGTTATATATATGCTGAGATTTTGTAAATTCTGGTTTAATAATACTTTGATAAAGCTATTAGCATTAAATAGCGAAACGTCAGTAAAAACAACAATATCGTTTTGTTTTTCATTCATTGGGAAATACAAAAACCTTTATTATAATGAATATCATATACCCAATGCCCAAATTTTTTCAAACTGTTAAAAGTGAACTTGGTTTGGACATATATAACTTAGATACTCTCTACTATAATTCTTAGAATAAAATTCATTATTTGCTTATTATACACTTTGTGGTGAAATTTCATCACAGTACCCTTTAGAAGTACAAAATATTCAAGTCATATTTGGAACCCACAAGGAAAAATCAACTCTGTGATAATCTGAGACTGAGATCTGTCCAATAACTGTTTAATCCAGTTTCATACAAGATCATGTGCCAAATGGACAATACTGATGTGATATAAGTTTGTTTATTATTTTTATTTTATTCCTTTGCGTTCCCAGTGGAACATAGGGCTTCAAACTGGAGCTTTGAAGTTTCGGTAGCAGTGGTTTTTATTTTTATTGGATGGGATTGCTAGTCTCATGCCCAACATCCCCTCTTTGCCAGTCTTATTACTGGCTGAGCGAGGTAAAGGAGTGCGTCGGCCAGGGATCGAACCCCGGACCATCTGAGTGGCTGGCTAGCATTCTACCCCTGCTCCACCGACGCACATAAGTCTGTTTAAGATATACAAATTCTCTCATCATTCCTTTTGTGTTCAGAGTGAAATAAAGGACTTTAGGCTTGAGCTTTGAAGTCTCAGTAGCAATGGTGTTATTTCGTTTGATGGGGTGGGATTGATAGCCTCACACCCAACCTTCCTTCTTTACTCAGCTTACTACTGGCTAAGCAATATTTAGGAGTGCATCGGTTAGGAGTCGAACCCGGATCATGTGCGTGGTTGGGGACCATTTAACCACTGAACCATCGACGCACTACATATTCACTTTACATATGTAAAATATAAGAAGCATGAAGTATATTTCCAAAGTCTTTTACCGTTTACCCTCAAAAATTTGACGGCAAATAATTCACGGTACTTTGCGTTTATAAGAGAATAACAGTACATTTTGCAAACTGAAAGTAAATTTTCAGTGAGTAAAGAACTTTTCTGTCAAGCCCAATACTGCTAAATTCGATATAATCGGAGAGGATTTAAGGTAGAAATGTAAATTTCGACTGCAGCACGAGTTGAATCAACGGTCGTGCAATTAATAACCCAGTCTTCTACTAGCCGAGTCAAGAAATCCTAGTGCCAACCAGGGGATCAGTTCACTGCAGTCATGACGGGTGATATCACGTTATCATATGAATGAATATAACATTACTGTTACATTAGCTACCCATCT